TTGGGGAAGAAAAAAAAAATCCCTCAACCTGCTGATTCCAAGCCTGACAGATGAAGTAAAACGCAGCTCCATTAGGGTAAATAAAGCATTTCAGTCTCTCTCTGCCAACTAAATAAAACCTTTTTATCTGCAGGATCATTTCCTGTTCGACAAGCCTGTGTCTCCATTATTGACATGCGCCTTCATGGCCAGAGACTGGCCGGATGCCAGGGGGATCTGGTACGTTCATCCTCACCGTCTGTGACTTTTCCATCATCTTAATACTTAGAGGAATTTAACATTTTTTCTGTTGACGTTTGGTGCGTGCAACATTTAGCAAATTAATAGTAAAGATAAAACTGCATCGATGAGCGCTGGAGGCAAGAAGGCATCAAAATGTGTGATTAAACATGTGGTTTGATGCAGGGAGAGTTATTGGTTACGTTTCTGTGGCTGCTTGTCCTCAGGCACAACAACGACAAGACCTTCCTAATCTGGATTAATGAGGAGGACCACACCAGAGTCATCTCCATGGAAAAGGGAGGCAACATGAAGAGAGTGTTTGAGAGATTCTGCAACGGCCTCAAACAGGTTTGTTGGATTTAAACATCAATGATCAAACCTGGTACTTAGTTGGTAAAGCTTCTCACGTCACTTTTTGAGTTTTATTTCAGTGTTTTTCTTTAATGCACATTGTAAAAGGTGTGTATGTGTTGGTTGAAAGGTGGAGCATCTGATCCAAGAGAGGGGCTGGGAGTTCATGTGGAACGAGCGTCTGGGGTACATCCTCACATGCCCCTCCAACCTGGGGACCGGCCTCCGGGCGGGGGTGCATGTCCGCCTGCCCAAACTCAGCAAGGTGAGTCCTTCTGATACACCTACTTTATCTTTCAATAAAACTATCACTTGTGCTAATGTCTGGGAGTTTTATCCACATCATTTAAACAAAACTTGGTAAATAATTAGAGTTGTCAAGTAACGAAGTACAAATACTTCATTACGGTACTTTTTAGGTATTTATATTTATTTTTTGTACTTTTCCTACTTGCTTTGCTTCTGTTTTATCTTCCAATATTTTAATCATGTAAAGCATTTTGCATTGTCTTTGTACTGAATTGTGCTATACAAATAAATTAGCCTTGCCTTGCCTTAGGTATCTATACTTTACTCCCATTATTTATACAGGTACAAGCCAGTAAATTAGAATATTTTGAAAAACTTGATTTATTTCAGTAATTGCATTCAAAAGGTGTAACTTGTACATTATATTTATTCATTGCACACAGACCGATGCATTCAAATGTTTATTTCATTTAATTTTGATGATTTGAAGTGGCAACAAATGAAAATCCAAAATTCCGTGTGTCACAAAATTAGAATATTACTTAAGGCTAATACAAAAATGGGATTTTTTAAAAATGTTGGCCAACTGAAAAGTATGAAAATGAAAAATCTGAGCATGTACAATACTCAATACTTGGTTGGAGCTCCTTTTGCCTCAATTACTGCATTAATGCGGAGTGGCATGGAGTCGATGAGTTTCTGGCACTGCTCAGGTGTTATGAGAGCCCAGGTTGCCCAGGTAAACAAACATT